CTTGAACCAAGATAAAGGACCTATACCCAATTTAAAGATCCCAAAAAAATTCCCTAAAAAGTAATGTTTTTTAACCCCATTTTTGGCAATTTTTTCGATTTTTACAATAATAATCATGATTCATTCGATTTGTAACTAGTCATATTTTGTAAAAAATTGAATTACAAACATTTTTTTTCTCTTCCATTTTCGCCTAAAATCAACTTTTGAAAAGATACATAATTAAATAGGAAGAAAAATATTACATTTTTCGAATTTTTTATACATATTGTGCCGCCAAACGTTAAGCCCACGTATCTTTTTATGCGCATAGAAGAATTTTCATTTCTAGTGATATTTGAAGCCAAAAAGCCAAAAATCTCCGTTGATATAATACGATTCACCCAAACCAAAACAGATACCGCCTAGTCTATTATTACAAAATTCAATAAATACATTAAATTTTTTTGATAATCTTCAAATGAAACATTTTGAAACATTTCGAGGATACTAGATCAATCAGGAGTTTGCATCAACTAATTAACGTCAATGTGATAAATCAACTTGGCTAACACGGCATTCTTTATCTTTACAATTTTGATTGCGATGAATCGACTTCTAATTGTTAGATTCGATTTTTAATTTTATTCACAATTTTGGTCTTAAATTTTCTTACCGAATACACCAGTTGCTTAAATTATCCCGGGAATTTTGTTTTGGTTACAAATATTTTAAGAAAATTATTAATTTATCGACTTCCACAAAAATTCGCTCCTCAAAAAATGCATCATGCAACATCAAATTTGTCTCAACCAAATAGTTTGAAGACGTTATTTTAACGTCATAGCGAGGTTGATAAATCCGTTAAACTAACTAAATCGCGATTTTAGCACTTTTAGGTTTGGATAACTCGAAAACCAGAGCCAATTGAGAAAGGACCCCGCACAAATCTTATGGAAATTGGGTCCCGGTCAAATTCGCTGAATTTTTGATATGTGATAGAGTTCATCATACTGGTCAATTGTCTCAATGGCCACAAAGCTCAAAAATGGATAGTTTGGCCGGTACAGAGCTTTAAAGCTCCGAATATCCTCCACGGATTTATGTATATGCGCAGTGTGTATAGACTTTTGAAATAGCCTATTTCATTTTTTTTATTATCTAGGTTTATATTTTTGAGGTTGCTGAATTCAGATCTGTTGTTAGATTTTCAAAATTGACAGTTGGCAGCTGTCAAATAGCTGTCAATGTGCTATAATAAAGCCAAAAACTTGTTTTTTTATGTTTTATCTTTCTTTTTTTTTAGTTCGATAAGTTCAAAGACGATATCAAATCAATAACAATGACTATCGGCAGCTGTCATTTAGCTGTCAACAATTCTTCAAAGTCCGGTAATAAAGTCAAAAAATTATTTTTTGTTTATAACTTCAAGTTTTTTAGATAAGTGAATATAAATATGATATAAAATTATGTAGTCATCAGCTTACAGCTGTCAACAAGCTGTCAACTAACTGTCAAAATGCAATAATAGAGCAAGTAACTTATTTTTTGTGCTTAACTTTGTGGATAAGAAATCAAACATGATATAAGTTTATGACATCACTTTTGAACTCAGTGATCTAAGCAACTTAAAGCTTTTTAAAAAAAGTAACTTTTTGACTTTATTATTGCATTTTGACAGTTAGTTGACAGCTTGTTGACAGCTGTAAGCTGATGACTACATAATTTTATATCATATTTATATTCACTTATCTAAAAAACTTGAAGTTATAAACAAAAAATAATTTTTTGACTTTATTACCGGACTTTGAAGAATTGTTGACAGCTAAATGACAGCTGCCGATAGTCATTGTTATTGATTTGATATCGTCTTTGAACTTATCGAACTAAAAAAAAAGAAAGATAAAACATAAAAAAACAAGTTTTTGGCTTTATTATAGCACATTGACAGCTATTTGACAGCTGCCAACTGTCAATTTTGAAAATCTAACAACAGATCTGAATTCAGCAACCTCAAAAATATAAACCTAGATAATAAAAAAAATGAAATAGGCTATTTCAAAAGTCTATACACACTGCGCATATACATAAATCCGTGGAGGATATTCGGAGCTTTAAAGCTCTGTACCGGCCAAACTATCCATTTTTGAGCTTTGTGGCCATTGAGACAATTGACCAGTATGACGAACTCTATCACATATCAAAAATTCAGCGAATTTGACCGGGACCCAATTTCCATAAGATTTGTGCGGGGTCCTTTGGTACCTGGGATTCAAATAATTCAGCGCACCAAATTCCTTCGGAGAAGTACATTCTGCTTTCTGGGTTAAAGGGTTGGCCAAATTTTGTCAGCCTGTGTAATCCTTTCAAATTTGAAACCGCCGAAAAATTCAAATGATCCATCGGAATCTTCTATGGTCCCTTTTATTTTGAAAAATCAAATTGTTTTATCTTTTAACTTTTCGATCTCGTGATTTTTTTATACACATCGCCTTTTAAAGTAGTCCCTATTAACTAATAGTCCACAGTACAGGCCCCCCCTGGAAAGTTGATTACCACATATTTTGTAACTCCTGAGGGGCATCCTTTTGACCAGTCTACCACATTTTTCCTCTACGACTTTTCTCGATTCCTCCGCTTTTCCACTCGGAAAAGTCTAAAAACATGGCAATTTCCCGGGGTCTTGAAAACTCAAGACCACATCTTTTATTTTTAGCTTAAGTAACTGGAAATTTTGTTGCGAATGCCGATTTAAATTTGTCCGACAGAAATTCCTCCGACATTGACGTGTCTACCGGTCGAAACATGCCAAAATAACAGGGTATTGAAAATCAATTACCACATAGGTAATTTTTAGTAAAATTAATTGTAAATAATTAATTCAGTCAAAAAGTATTGTTGTCCGACAAATTTCAAGCCGCGTTTTTTCAGTCCGACAGCTGGAAATCGGAATTTTCACGGGGTATGAAAAATCGATTACCACATATCTAATTTTCATTTTTTCCACTTTTAAATTTACTGTACAAAATAGTGATATAAGTGTCCGACGATTTAATGTCCGCAAATTATTAAAAAATCAATAAATCAATAAACGTGATGAAATTTAATTTTTTCACTCCAAAAATTTCATATTTATAAATGGTTATTAATTATTATTATGTAAATTATTATTTGTTTCAAATAAATAATTATAATATTGCTTATTTTATGCTTAAAAATTTAAAAGTTATAAACAAATGAAGTTATTTTTGAGGCGATTAATACGATCTTAGTGCATAATGCATTATTTCTAAATAAATTAATATTATACTTGATATAAAAATCCTTTTTTCTCTTTCAAGTTTTCATTCGCGTTTGTTATTTTTCTTTACAAAAATTTTCCTATTTTTCTAAAAGAAAATCCCAAAACTTTTGTGCATAATTTTTTTACACCATACATACTTTTTTGAAATCGTTTAATTCTTTTCTCGATATTTATTTGGCTAAATTGAGCATATAGAGATTTACAATTACAAGAATAAAACGAAAAATATATACAGGGTGTTTCAGAAAGACCTCCCGTAAATAAAGAGGGTGATAGTATGATAAAAAATGAGAATTTTTTGTCTTATGAACTCTATGTCTATCTCCTCTTGTTTTCGAGATACAGAGAGACAAAATAAAATTTTTTAAATAACATTTTTATGAAAATTTCCAAATAGTGCGAAATATTTTTATGAAATTTGGTAGCCCGAGGTTTTTAAGGGTGCCAAATACGCTAGTCTAATTATTTTTTGTATATTTCATAGAAAGCGCTAGTTATGCTACATTCTTATTACAATTTAAGTTATATTTTTTTTAAGGTTAGGTTTTTTACCAGTCGGGCTCTAATTTCTATTGTACAATTTTATTTTCTAAAAATAATGTACTCTTGTTAGAACTTCCTAATGTGGACGATTTTCGAGAAAAAAGGCTTTTAATTAAACTCTTACAATATTACACTATAAAATAAGTGACTTTTCTCAAAGTAAGCTTGAGCTTTGAGAAGAGGAGATAGACATATAGTTCATATGACAAAAAATTCTTATTTTTTGTCGTCCTCACCCCCTGTATTTACGGGAGGTCTTTCTGAAACACCCTGTATTGTATATTTATATGGAATTTTGCTTAATACATGAAAATACCTTATTAGAAATTATAAATACATGTGCACATTTTTTACGAAATTTTTTTCATCATTTTTTGTCGGACTGACGATTTGCGGATATATTTTTGTCGGACATTACAATTTTTGCTTATAAAAAACACTTTTCTATCGTGTGTTATTTTTGTCCGACATGTGGTAATCGATTTTTCATACCCCGTGAAAATTCCGATTTCCAGCTGTCGGACTGAAAAAACGCGGCTTGAAATTTGTCGGACAACAATACTTTTTGACTGAATTAATTATTTACAATTAATTTTACTAAAAATTACCTATGTGGTAATTGATTTTCAATACCCTGTTATTTTGGCATGTTTCGACCGGTAGACACGTCAATGTCGGAGGAATTTCTGTCGGACAAATTTAAATCGGCATTTGCAACAAAATTTCCAGTTACTTAAGCTAAAAATAAAAGATGTGGTCTTGAGTTTTCAAGACCCCGGGAAATTGCCATGTTTTTGGACTTTTCCGAGTGGAAAAGCGGAGGAATCGAGAAAAGTCGCGGAGGAAAAATGTGGTAGACTCGTCAAAACGAAGCTCCTCAGGAGTTATAAAGTATGTGGTAATCAACTTTCCAGAGGGGGCCTGTACTGTGGACTATAACTTGAAGTAAAAGTTTAAATACGGAAAAATCTAATAAAATACTATCTCCCTGTATGTCAAAGTGACAAAACGTCTGTGGGTCTACTTTTACATGCACCTTCTTCCTTATTTTTGGTCAGAGAATCGCCTGTACAATTTCGTCGGTGGTGTATTTTGAGGTCGCAATGTCCTATATATAGTATTCAGGGCCGGCTAATTTAAACTCTATTCATCAAAATTGATCCTCTTGTTCCAGATGCGGCCAAGAGACGCGAGTGATCCCCCGCCTCCTGCAAATGCGCTTCCACTGGCTCAAATCCGAAAAGGAATCGATGCGCCTCGAACAAGCCGGCATCACCAAGTCTGTCTTGGACTCCGCGATCGCCGCCTTCACCTTAGAAATCATAGCCAAGCACGGCCAGCCGGCCGCCAGACTGTGCAACAAAGACCCACTCACCATCAAGATGGGCACCTATGTCATTGATCTCTTCCCCAACGCCAAGTTCATCTTTATGGTGAGGGACGGAAGGGCCACCGCCCATTCCATCATATCCAGGTGAGTCAAGACTCTACTTTTAAAAATCAGTGGAGATGAAGAAAAATTGTTCCTCTATGTGATCTATTTCTTCTGCTTTCAGGAAGGTAACCATCACCGGTTTCGATCTGAGTAGCTACAGGCAATGCCTGAAAAAATGGAACAGCGCCGTGGAGGCTATGAATAATCAGTGCAGGGAGTTAGGCTCGGGGAAGTGTCTGCGTGTGCCCTACGAGCAGCTGGTGCTTCACCCCAAAGAGTGGATGCAGAAGGTGCTTAAGTTTCTGGACATTCCTTGGAACGATTCGGTGCTGCATCACGAGGACTTCATCAACAATGGGATCGAACTCAGCAAGTGAGTGCTTTATTGTATAATCTTTCGCTTAACAGCGTTTGTAGATAGTATGCCATATCGATTTATTTTTTCTAAAAAATGTTATACAGGGTGTTAGTAAATAAGTGCGACAAATTTCAGGGGGCGATTTTACATGAGAAAATAATGGCAGTTTGCTTATAAACATATGTCCGCAGATGATTCGTTTTCCGAGATACGGGGTGTCAAAAGTTTTTCTTAAAAACTGACGATTTAATTTATTGCTCTGAAACCGGTCGAGATGCAAATGAAATTTGGTGGGTTTTAAGAGGTAGTTATTGCGCATTTTTTGACACAAAATTAAGAATTTTATGTTCATCATTGACGCGCGTACGGGTAATAATCTCAATTTTTTAAAGAAAAAAATGGTACGCCACATTACAAATTAAAAATCATTTATGAATTCCTCGTTCAATTTGTGACAAAAAATCTCCCTTGCCTTTTCTTCGTATGGGGCGCCGTTTTGATGCAAAAAAAATAAAACATCTTAACGCGTATTTTTTATTTCTTTAATACATTACCTAGTAAGCTACTGTCAACATTTGTGTGTTATATACGAATATTTTTAAGAAATGTCAAATTAGCGTTTCGTCATTATTAATTTATTAAGGTTTTAGTTTGCTATAACATTAGTGTTAATAAGTAATTAATTTTTCTTTTATCGAAAAGAATGGAAAATTTTACAAATGCGGAATTGTCAGACATGCATTTTGTCTATGGTCGAAGTAATGGAAATGGTCGGCAAGCTCGACGATTGTATGCTGAGTTGTATCCAGGACGTAGGGTACCTCATCACACAATATTTGCTCGTCTTCATCAACGTTTGCGCGAAAATGGTTCATTTAAGAAACAAACGGTTGACTGTGGGCGCCCTCGAGAAGTACGAACTGTGCAACTAGAAGAAGCAGTTCTCGAGTTAATTGCGGAGTCACCTGAAACAAGTACTCGAAAAATTGCCAACATATTGAATGTAAGCAACTTCACTGTATTTAAAATTCTTAAAGAACAGCAATTGTATCCGTTTCATATTGAACGTGTGCAAGCTCTACTACCTAGAGACTTTTTTCCGCGCCTATTTTTTTGCCAATGGATTAATCATCAAATCGCTCAAATTCCTAATTTTTTAAATGCCGTTTTGTTTACTGACGAGGCTACTTTTGGACGACAGTGTATACGAAATTTCCATAACAATCACTTATGGGCTGAGGAAAACCCCCATGGAATCTTTGAAGCTCATTTTCAGCATCAGTTTTCCGTAAATGTATGGCTTGGGGTAATTGATGATCATTTAATCGGTCCATATTTCCTCCCACAACGACTAACAGGCGAATCTTATCTTAATTTCCTACAGGAAGAGTTACCTGTTCTTCTTGAAGAAATTCCTCTACAGCTGAGACAACACCTATGGTACATGCATGATGGTGCACCAGCCCATTTTAGCATTAATGTACGTAATCACTTAGACACAGTATATCCAAATCGTTGGATAGGTAGGGGAGGTACGGAACATTGGCCTGCTCGATCGCCGGATTTAAATCCTCTTGATTTTTGCATTTGGGGTTTTCTTAAGTCATTAGTTTATTCCACTCCCGTTGAAAATGTTGATGACCTGAGGAATCGAATTATAGTCGGCTGTGAGACAATAAGAAATATACCAGGAATATTTGCGCGAATACGACAATCAATGAGGCGAAGAGTTGAATCTTGTGTCACGTCTGAGGGAGGTCATTTTGAACATTTGTTGTAGCTTTGCGCCTTTTCAAAATTTTATTAGTGTTATTTTCTGTTATTGTTCTGGTTTAATGTTATTGTATTAGATAGTTCTTGATAATGTATTAAAGAAATAAAAAATACGCGTTAAGATGTTTTATTTTTTTGCATCAAAACGGCGCCCCATACGAAGAAAAGGCAAGAGAGATTTTTTGTCACAAATTGAACGAGGAATTCAAAAATGATTTTTAATTTGTAATATCTCAGTGGCGTACCATTTTTTTCTTTAAAAAAATTGAGATTATTACCCGTACGCGCGCCAATGATGAACATAAAATTCTTAATTGCGTGTCAAAAAATGCGCAATAACTACCTCTTAAAACCCACCAAATTTCATTTGCACATCTCGACCGGTTTCAGAGCAATAAATTAAATCGTCAGTTTTTAAGAAAAACTTTGACACCCCGTATCTCGGAAAACGAATCATTTGCGGACATACGTTTATAAGCAAACTGCCATTATTTTCTCATGTAGAATCACACCCTGAAATTTGTCGCACTTATTTACTAACACCCTGTATATACAGGGTGTCCGTTAAGGGATAGGCCAAACTTTACCAGTAGATTTTATGTTGAAAATTAATGGGGGAAAGTCATATACAATGTATATCATAAACGCTTAGTTTTCGAGATACAGGGTGTTGAAAAAATAAATAACATTTTCTTTAATATATTTTGAGTACTTTGAGCTAATTTCATGAAATTTCGTATCTGGGGTTTTTTTAGGATGAGAAATTCTAATTTACCGACGATTTCATTGTCTCTTGTAGAGGGCGCCACAAACGACCATTCGGACGCATTTAAACTGCCAAAACTTTTTTGTGCCACGTTGTATTTATTTCACTTTGCGTTGGAAAAGTCTTTTCCTCCAACAAAATAAATAGGTATATTAAATATAGGAAGTACATGTAGTTAATAATCGAGTTGAGTTAACGATTTTCGTATCAATACAAACACGGAATGACCGTATTGAGTGCGCATACCACCGCAGAGAAATCATTAATGAATTCAATGAATCGATTTTGACAATGGAATTATAAAATAAACAAACGAAAACTTCTCAGTCGGTCCTAGCACATTTACTTTTATATTTGCAATGCAATAATATATAGAGTGTTTTAATTAAAATAACAAAAGTTGCCAACTACTTCCAGTGTAACTGAAAGTGCTACGTTTATAGTATTAATTTAATTGATAACCCCCGTATACAAAATTTTAGAATCATATATTATCTTTGGTTTTTCTGAAACGTTTAATGGGCCACTTACCATAAAGAACCCTATATACAGGTTGTTACAAATTCGCTCTCACTACAGGGATCTCGGAAACGGTAACATGATTAATTTTCGAAATATTTGAAAAAAAAAACGAAACTTTGGAAATCCGTTTTTGTTGAATTTCAGCCTTGTTTGAGGTGATATTGAAAAAACAAGAACACTTTCTCATGACCACTTTTTGCCCTTTATCGAATGGCATAATCAATTTTTATATATAACGTTTCGTCTTTCCAGATCCATCATCAACTTCATTTTTTTAAATACGACCCTGGAAATTTTATTACATTTTTGCAAGCCCAATACTGTACTACCTCAGCCCGAACCAGATTCAGACGTTTTGTCTCGAAAAATTAATCTTCAGTGTATTCGTTCCAAATTTATCTAAATTTTTTATTTACATTTCTTTGTTTATTGAATTATCGTACACTGTAAGTGTCGTTAAACCCTGTGAAATTCATCTAGTTATTTAAAATATTACCACCAGGTGATACAATAAAACATTTATTATTATTATCTATTACCATCATACATAACTCAATAAGTTGTTGCGTCAAAATTAAAACATTTACAATTTTAATTTTATTATGACAAATTAATTCTTAAAAATACATATGAACTACCAAAACGCCAACTGATTCTTTAAAAAATTCTAGTAAATGTTCAAAACATTTTCGTTTTAGCAGAGGTTGAAAATGAAGATCAGCGTAATATTATCAAAATTGAACTCTCGAGAAGCCTAGAAATAACTATGGGCACGGGAATAAAACTCTAATAATGTTTTATTTTAATGTGTGGTAATAGTTTAAATAACGCATGTGTTGCTAGAAAGCGACTATAAAATAATACTTTGTTATATAAAATATAATATAAAATTGTATATGAGTAGCAACAATATTCCATTCAAATCCAACTCGAGATGAAATAGATATTTCTTTCGTGATCTTGTACGTACTTTTCGTCTCTAACGCGGCGTTAATTAATTGTTTAACAAAGGAAAAAAAATATTCTCTCCGACAGAATATTAATTAACAGTTATTTGAAAATATATGTTTTCATTTAAATTAAACAATAATTTAATGTTATTCATTTCCTGACTACGTAATATAAATAAAATTTCATTTAAATACAATTTAATTTTACTTTATTAAAAATATTTTTCGATAGATTTACATACATTTATTTGTGATATTTTTCATGAAGTGCAAAACTTTAACGACAAAAATTAATTTCAAACGTTTTCAGTTAAAGCTTTAAACGCGTTTGTGTCAACATGACCCATAAAAACCTTATAGGCCATAATGTAATATGATTGTTGATTGTAAACAACATTTACATCTCGTGTCAATATAACACATCTGTTGTCGTAATCATAAAAAAACTAAACTGATTAAAATATATGCATAAATACCCCGCCTGAATAAAAAATGATGTTTCTTTTTCATTGTTTAATTCAATTTTGTACAATAGATTTCTACCGCCTAAAAATTTCCTTGGATTTTTCTTTCCGAATTCTCCGAAGTTCTTTCAAACTTTTCAGCGTCTCTCCGCCGGATTTCCTTTTCAAATTTACTTCTCATTAAGTTTCATTCACGTAAACGTTGCACTCGTAATTTTTCCTTGTTCGAATAATATTACAACTGAAAATTTGCAGCATCTGACGCACCTGTGATATACTAAACCCATAATTTCTGTTAAAAAATTAGTTTCGCTATCTCGCCACTCCCGATATCTCTATTAAATTGGATTTTCATAAAGCTTTTAAATGACGGAAATAAAAAGCGACCCGGCCTATTTTATATTAACTCCGATTGTGTCGATGAAATAACGATCCGTCGCATAAATTTTTTTAATTGCGTTGGCGGAACGCTTACTATTGAAATTCCAATTTGGAAAGCTTCGCGTCGGGCAAATATATAGATAGATGGCGTTTTCGCAATTTTGTTTAATTCGATTTCTGCGTCACGTCAATTAAGTCAATTAAGTAGAAGGTGCCCTTAATTAAAACCATGTAACTGGTATCAAGTTGGTTAGGGGGTGAATTTAATATAATCCAGGGGCAGTTTAAATACGTTTAAATTATTATACTCTTAATATAAGATTAAATCAGAATCATACTCCATTGGAGCAAAAGGAAACAGTTAGATAATATTTACAGAAATTTGGTCCTTCGAATACGGATCACCACAAAAATTTATATTCCGTTTAACTGAGAATGGGCAGTAAGTAAAGATGGTTATTATTGTCTGCGTACTGCAATATAGCGATGTGGGAACAGTACATCGATTTATAGATATCCAGGCCAATAACAAGATTGAAGTAGAAAAAAAAAGTTTAAATATTTTTTGTTATTTTGTTGTTGTTTTTTGTTCCAAAGATGTGCATATTTCGAAACTACAACTTTATCTCACTTGCAAATTCTGAGCCTGCTGCGATTGCTTATGCGATTTATTGACTTGGTTTACTGTATTTTTTTTTTAAATTATTGAAGTAGTGTGCAACATAAAGTGTAAAATTGATACGGGATTCAGATATAAAAAATCCATATTAATAAATCCCTCCAATTTTTTTTTACAAAATTTCTTTTGAAATTTAAATTTAAAAAAATATGTAAAAAATAACTTCTCTAGAGAAACGTGACATAAAACAATTTTTTTGTGACAAACATTTTGAGTAGCATATGTTTGACCAAACTTATCACTAACAATATAATATTATTATACTTATAATATTAAAATAGTTACACCAGAAACCTGTTACATTTTTTTAAATTTACGTTTGAAATTTAATAACGATAATTGCCTATGCAATTATAAATCCAGACATCTTTTTGGTAGAATTCAAAGGATCATATTTGAATGGTATGGTACTACGATTTTCAAAATCTACAGGGTTTATAGACTGGAAACTAATTTTTAAGGATTACGATGTGCTGCAGGTAAAAAACAAAAAGTAATATTTACCTTAACAAAAAATAATGCAAACTTATTGAGAACTGCTAAAGTCGAGAGGGAATGACACGTATTCTCATGACACATCACAGTAAATGTTCTATGTCACTATTTAGTTTGTTAACACATAATCGAGCTCATCGAATTAAAGAATTATCCACGTTTACAAAAACGTCCTGCCTAATAGTCCATGCTGTAGTTTCAGTCCAAAGGGATAGAACATTATCAACTTCTTTGTCATGCCCAATTCTTTTTAAAATAGAGATTTCTCTAATCAGACTTCAGATTTAGTTAGGTTTGAAGGATTCTCAGAATGAGATTAAAAGTAATAAAACACTAATCACTTGATTAGTACAATTTAACCCACATTAGATTAATACCGAAATACAAGATATTTTTAGAGTGACAGTTAAGAAACAACTAATTCTAACGCAGCAGTAGATATGTGTCCAAATAAACAATAAATCTTTCAGACCATTAATCGGTGTTTTTCTTTCACCTCCATTGTTTACACTTTCTACACAAACCGTTTCTTACACTATACCGACAGCCAGCGGTACTCAAACAACGTATATTATTGTTGTTTTGTCAGTTCTAAGCAACCTTTACTAAAAGCTAAATGTTGAGGCTTCTTATGAAGATCCGTTTCCCATTAGAAATAAGTTTCCCTGTACATATGACATCATTTAGCTGACATTTTTGTGTTTTGACTTTTAACAATAAACAAGAGAAATCAAATAGTCCGTTTCGAATCGATATTTCAACGATTGTTAACCAGGACCGTCATTTTTACAACTATTTCGTTTGTTCCAGGGTGGAGCGCTCCTCCGACCAAGTCATAAAACCCGTCAACCTGGAGGCGCTCACCAAATGGGTGGGTAACATCCCCGAGGAGGTGGTGCGCGACATGGCCGACATAGCGCCAATGCTGTCCGTGTTGGGCTACGACCCCTACGCCAACCCACCCAACTACGGCCAGCCGGACGACAACGTGGCCCACAACACCAAGGAGATTCAGAAGAACAAGGTGGTGTGGGACAAGAAAGCCAAAGAGATGTTCAGCGTGGGGTGGGACAACGGCGATGGGGACACGGCTTTAGACAAGGAGCCCAGCGACAGCCCGAACAATACTACGTGATAATACGTGTACACCATTAGGTGTTTGCAATTCAACTGTGTGTGGACCATCGACTCTTACTGAATCGTTTTAGGTGTTTGTACATCGGACTGTGCGATTAGTATTATATCGCGTTATCCCCTTTGGAGGTTTTTTTTTTGGGAGTAAGTTGGTCGCGCTTGTTCCAAAGCTGTCGGTTAGCTCTGACTTCACAGAGGGAGTGTGCCGTCGACTGGACGTGGCAGTTGATCAAATAATTATTTATTTAATTTATGTGGTTAAATACTCGTCGTTATTTCCTTATAGAAGTGTCTTTTCGCAGAAGTAATACGATTGTTTTTGTATATAAAAACCACTTAATGACATAGAGGGCGATGAAGTGAATTCGGAAAACTTTTGCTATTAATTTTCTTCTAGTGTTTTCGATCTATTCCCATTTTTGCATTCAGTGAATACTGAGAGTATTTTCATCCTTTACTATCCGAGTTCCGAGTTGATAGTATAGGACAAAAACATATTCCATGAGCACTGAACAAAAGTACAAATGAATCGAAAACAAGTAAGTGTTTTCAGAAATTATTCCATCATCTAGTGTGTGCCAGAAGATGGTTTTGATAGGGAAATCGTACTTGAATTTTCCAGAGGTCCCCTGCATAGAGTTGAAGCACCACAGTGTCGTTCATTACTGTTCGTGATAAGTCGGTAGCATATCCCGAATCCTGGATTTGTATATATTAAATTATATGTTGGAACAAGCGCGACATGGGATATATTTACTTTAATTTAATGGGCCAGTTTGACTAAATAGGATAACGTTATTTATTATGTTATGTTACGTCAGTGTATCACTATTTTATCGATATGAATGGATGTTTACATTTGTTATAATGATTTAAAGATTGATTTATGGATATTTGTTGTATTTTATTCATAGGGTTTTTAATAAAAATTATTTTATTAAATCGTGTTTCTATGAAATTACACAACAACGCACTGTTTTTGACGCATGAAGGTTTGCTATATTTCGTTAAAAAAATCCCTAGGTTTCGCTTAGAACATGTAACTAGCGTTCAAATAAAAACGTGGTCGAAGTTGGCTCTGACACATTGGACGTAGGGAGTAGCTTATAGCGACCAACTTAACCTCATTTCTCAACGAGCTGTATAGCAGCTGTCAGTTTCAATAACGTTAATGACTATATAACTTTATTTTAAAGAATAATCGTGATAACAATAACAAACAATTAAAGGAGCTGCGGAAAGTGTCCCCCTCCTTGTTATAACAATAAATTAAAGCAGCTGCTGAAAGTGTTCCCCTCCTTGTTCCAAGCACTTTTCACACCTGTTCCTCAAAGAATTAAAGACATTTTCTAAGATGCTCGGGGGTATTGTTAATTTCACGAATCTTGTCTATAAGTCGAGCCTGCAGATGGTTTAAATCAGGAATAGGCAGTTCAAAAATAGTGTTTTTAAGGTAAGGCCACAAAAAGAAATCACACGGCGTAATATCACATGACCTCGGTGGAAATTCATGTTCAGCATTGAGACTTATTAGTCGATTTTGGAAAACTTCCCTCAACATATTCATCGTCTCGCCTGCCGTATGTGCCCTTGCGCCATCTTGTTGAAAGTAAAAGTTTGTAATTTCGTTTTCTTCCAGCTGGTTAACAAAAGGAGCGATAATTTCTTCTCTATACCTTTGCGCAGTAAGAGTAGCATTAAAAAAATTAGGTCCATAAATCCTCATTCGATTGAGAGCACAACAAACTCCATTTTTTTGAGCGTGTAGAGGGCCCTCGAAAAAAAAGTTATCTGATTTTTCAGAAGACCACATTCTCATATTCTGTGAGTTTACGTAACCACTTAAATGAAACTAAGCTTCATCAGAAAAAAAGGTGATATTATGAAGTTCACCGTAGTTGTTTAAAAACCATACACAAAATACAGCCCGTCGCGGAAAATCAACTTCATGAAGTTCTTGCTGACAAGTTAAACGATAGGAGAACAAACGCAAATCTTTTTTTAACACTGTGTGGCAGGTACCGACTGATACTCCCACCATTTGTGATAAAACACGTACAGAAGTTCTTGGCGCATTTTCCATTATTTGTTGGACATTTTCTTTTAATTCTTCAGTCCGCTTTTTAGGTCGGCCGCTTCCTTCTTTTCTTGTTACACTGCCCGTTTCACGAAAAACATTAACACAACGCTGAACTGCACTTTGAAAAATTTTGTACTCAACAACGCCGGGAAATTGATTTTGAAATTCTATGAAACATTCCTCAATAGAATACTTCCATATTCCATCAATCTTGCGTCCATTTCTAAAGTAGGACTCTATGATAAACACTTTTTGTTCTTGAGAAAACACCATTTTAAACGCTTTTTAAAACGAAAATATTCAAATTGATAGCGGCGATATAGCGCTTTGACAGATGACGTTTAAGTTCATTTGCTATACGCTACGCCCTACGTCCAAATTTTCAGAACCAACTTGACCACGTTTTTATTTGAACGATCGTTATATTAACAAAAAATGTAACGAAAAATCCGCAATATTATAGTCTTTCCGAAGTCAGTTGAACATGCATAAAAATAAAATTTAATGAGTTTCATAGGCGTCCCAAAAAAGTATTCTGATAAAGGTAAGAAATTAGAATAATTTGTATATGAATGTGTAGAAAATTTCTATTATATGTTCATTTGTTCCGTTTCAAAAGGTCTCCAAAATGCCATGTTGTAATAGTAGTAAACAAAATATCCCTCTTATTTCTCCCTTTCGCAATTGTAATATGAATAATTAATAGAAGGTGCCTATAATAAATTAAAATTACCTGAAACACCAAATTCCGCATTGCTGAGATTTATTTATTGCCCAGTCGCCCAGTGCAGCTGTGTTATACGCCGTTTGCCCCCGCGCGCATTCTTCAACTGGGCGTATACATTTCTACCACCTCCACGCTTAGTTCAACCAGACCTGTATATGGGTATGGCTAAATAAACTTGGGAACAAGTTTTTCAAATATTTCATTACAGAGTTGCTGCCAATCTCTTGGTAATTCATTTGAGATCGGAAAAACTATACCTACTGTTTAATGTTTTCAAATTTTATCAAAATTAGTTTGGAACGAGCGTTTTTTACCGATATTTTTCTTAAAAATTGAAAAAAATTCCTTTTTTACATGCTAAATATATAAATTGATTCCGGACTAAAATAGTAGGCAGTGACTCATTTTCAACATGTAGATCGTGCCACGAGTAAGACGTGCTGGTGATGCGATTCCATGGGGGTATCATTTTAGAGGGTTCCAAAAATTATTAAATACAGCACAACAAATAAATATGTCCATTCTGATAAAAACTACACTAATGCTGATAAGCCTTGCACTAATCTTAATACATTCAAATATCCATCAACAATTCTGCTCTCGTAGGCCTCATATCATCTGCGTTCTTCTTTATCTATTACGGCAATAGCCAGTAGTACTTTCGCTAAGTGGACAAGTGGACCCTGCAAAGACCACAAAGAATAGGTAAAACCACTGAAAGAACTTACATCATTGAAAAATGAGATGCACCACTGAATGTAATGGTACCACTAGAAACAGTGATTTGATATTGGAAAACAATATTCGTTTCGTTCATTCTCGAATTTGTGTGAAAAATGTCGCAAAACTGTACCTACCTCCAACATTGTGAGAGATGCAAGAATTAATTTCAGATAATAAGAGCCTAGTTGAATGTTAAAAACGATAAAAGGCGTTATGACTTCAACTAAATACTCATAATTTAGCATTGAATCATCTATATCTGCAGATAATCTCAAAATGCAAGTAGAAACTATGGACTGACTGAAGAATAACGAATAAAAACATTCCGTCAATTTCAGAACAAATTTTAGGTTATGTATTCTCCCAAAGACGGTTTCCCATTTCTTAAAACATGTTGACTGCCCATCGAGTAGCATTAACGAGCATGTATCAATTAACGATTTTACAAAAATTCAGTTTCAACAGTTTTCATTAATACACTATTGATTTAGCTGTCATCTAACATAGAAAGAGTTAAAAAATTGACCTTCAGTATTACTGTCGCACTCACCACTCTCATTTAAAAGCACGATAAGCACTTCTGTTGTAACTTGCACTGACTCTTTTATCGAGATCCCACATTCGTTGTTGCACCTATTTCATGATTCCTAAAGTTACTCAATTAATTGCGTTCTGCAGAAGTACTTTCGCATCTCCTAGTGTAAAAGCTGTATTATTTCGTGCCACATAAGTTTTTATATTTGCCCAGATTAGTTTAATGAGGTTCAGCTCACAGTGGATGATCGAAGAAGTGTAATACCGCGAGCTTTAGCCATTTCATCCACAACATATTCCATGTAATTGGAATTTTCTTTCTGTGCAATGGCTAATAAGTTGTACTTCTAGTTCATCTAGTCTTTATATTCTTTATATTTAATATGTTTTCCATTCAGACATGGAGATGTTAGCAATTCTTTTCATTCATTGGCTAAGGTAAGGTGCATTATCCACGATAATCACTGCACCGGGTTCAACGTGAGGCAAAATAGATGCAAACTATTTTTCAGATATTCCACAGTCCATATCCTCATGGCAATCTCAGTAATCTATTCGTTGCGAACACATGTATCTATATCATTATTCATTTTCGATATATATAATCGCCGTCTTTTCCCAAAGAGTGTTTTAATCGCGTAGAAAATATTTTTGAAAATGCTTCTCATCTACTATTAATATTTCGATCTTGCCAATCCATGGAGATCGTATGTCCTTCATTTATCCATGTTTCCTTGCGATAATAAATTTTCATTTTCGATACAGGACATTATTTTTTCTGAATACCATAGTACAATTTCGTTCTTTTTTATTACGATTTAAAAATCGGTTTGCCTAATTGTCGACAGGTCGTGCTTTCAGTGTTATACTGAAGACTTAGTCATTGGTCATAGATGTAGCAGTCTGCAATGTACTACTATACTCACTATACTACTACTGTATACTCATTCCATGTCAGTAGTTAACACATTGCAAGAAGCTGGATCATTCGTCAAATGTCTCACCTATGGTATTCTGTTGAGACAAAGTTCGAAACCGGTATATGTCTGGTGGGTTCGGTCACAGATTAAACAGTTGGCCGTCATAACGTCGGGACCTTTGATCTCGATGTCTCAGATTTCATTGAAAAAAAAAGGTAATTTAGGATCTGGCACTAGCAAGCTTTACTATACTAATGTAAATGCGTAGGTCGTTCAAAAATGTAACATTCGAGGTATGTAGTTTTCATTTTTATAGTTTATATATTAATTATAAATACAAAATTTCGAATAAATATAAAAAAAGGCACATTACGAAAATGTTTTTAATGACTCAGGTAAATATATCTAATGATAGCGCTTGTAGTTGATCATGCGCTCTGGGAGTTTTGCTCGGCCAACTGTATAATAATCTGTGTGGTCGGGGCATGTACCCGCAGAGTAGATGTTTCTCGCAATATTGGAAAATATTACCATAGGATAACTACTACCCGTTAAGCACGGGACAAAGTTCGAGGATTTGATTCTAGGTGGCAACATCGAATACTTATTCAAATATCTCTTATAAGAATATACAGGATGACCCACGGTGACGAGACATTAGACATATTTCAAAGATTACTTCGATTTTAATTTTGAAAATTTGGGCAATAGTGTTTTCGGGCATGCCCTTCTCAACTAAAACAATGGCGTCCATCTAACACTTTTTACTGGAAATTGACGTCATTTTCGTTATTTTAAATGGAACACCCTGTATATTATTACAGTTTTTGATTCTACGTCAACTTTTAGGTGAACTTTCATAAAGGTTTCCTATTCTTAAAGTTAACCGTTTTTGATATACTTATTTTCTTTTCAAAAAAAAAATTGAAAAAGCAGTGCCTAATT